TTGTAAAACAAACTGAAATGGTTTAGTCTCATTATGCTGCTAAGTACATTGGTAAACAACATTCAAATATAGAACATGATCCTTCATTTCTTTGTTGTCTAGCAATTAATGTTATACTACTTAAACTAGAACTATTTTAACCTCACAATAGAAACTAACCAGGGAAGTAAGACGAAATCAAACCCTTCTTGTAAGTTTGGGGCAGCTTTTGGCATGTGTACCTGTTTATTTGTAGTTTTCAGACATTTGACTTTGATTTATCCTGTGAGTTTTACTGAGGATGTCAATTTTATACCTCGAGGACTACAAGGGTGCAAAGAAACATATTCCTGTCTTGAGTCATACCTTACAAAGTTTTTTGTAATAAAAGACTATGTACATGACTGAAAATATAAGACTCAGGCTGAATGAGCTGCAGTGGTACTTTCATAAAACACTTGGTCTTGGTTAAGTATATCTGGGCAGATTTAATTAGGTCAAGGGGTTAACACAGCCTATGGATAGCAGAACAGTCCTTCAGACATGGCAAAAGCCAAGAAATGAGGCGTTCCTCTGATTTTTCTTCCTTTAAAGTCATTTGAGCTTGGCAGCCATGTCTCACCAGATCAGTGGCTTAATTAGGATTGAATTGTTGCTATGTATTTTGGAGTTGTCTGTTATGTTAAACACATATAAGTTTGGGTGTATGTAACAATAAAAGTCTACATCTTAAGGAAAATTTAAAACAATGGAATTTAATGTCCTTCCCACAAAATTGGTCCATTTCTTACTGAAACCGGTTAGCACAGAAGATAGGTGCACCATCAGATAAGCTGACTTTATGTTTATTTTAGGGCTTCATTCAACAGCTGCATGATCTTGCTAAAAGGCACATGACAACACCAGTCACACACACAGAGCCTGTGGACACAAACTGCCTAGCAGGAGAACCTTTTTGACAAGCGTGAACCTGTTTCCTCCCGTTGTGAAAATGGAAAAAGAGACAAACAATATGGGCTCTGTTCGACACTGGAGTTAAATCAAACATACATTTAAAATATGTATTTACAAATATGCAGTGGTGTCAAAAACATTTTATCCTGAAAACATTTATCTTTTCAATTCTGACACTGAAAAAGAAAATTTTTGTAGTTTTCGTGTGCAGAAGAAAGAGGGAAATAGTCGGTATTTCCTTTTTTAAACTCAGCTGTTTTTTCAGGCACTTCTCATAAAAAATATTTATGGTATATATTTGGTACTTCATTAAAAGTTAAAAAAATCTTTTTGCATAAATATATTATGTTAGACCATTGACAAC